TAAATTACTTTAAGCACTTGATAACATGGGAGACAGAAGAGAAATATTATTTAATAATTATTAATTAAGGGTTAAAGTGTTTTCTGACTTCTGGCTTGTTATTAAAGTGACAAATATTTGAGGGCTCCCATACAAGATTTGTCAATAATTTTTTTACTTTTGCAGATATCTTATTTTCAGCAGGACATATGTTTGAATTGTATAAGGAGACACGTTTTACCATTGACATGCTGTTAATATTTCATATTCAGTTATTTTAACAATGTCAGGTTGCGCTCAAAAGTGATAGGCAATGATTTGTGTAGGTACTTACATATACTTATGTCCCCACAACATAGAAATTCCGACGTCATAAACTGATCGATGATTGACGTTTTTCCAACATCTCTTGCACCCGTCATTAACACTCTAAAGTAGCTTTGATCTCCATCGATTTTTGTTGTTATCAACTGAGGTATTACATAGTTGTTAAACATTTGTAGAGTCGAATCGACTTTAGCATTTAATTGTGTTTGTTTCCTTCCAGCACAGGGTGACTCTTCGCGTCTTTCAAATGTATCACCTCTGTTTACCAGACCTTTAGATGTAGTCTTGAAAGATCTTACCCTTCGAAGACCATCACTTTGTATTTCTCGTTCTTCTCTAAGCGAGCTAGATCTACGAAATAAAAGTTTACTTCCACTGTCAGGAACTGATAGCCCATGGTTGTCTTTAGACTCAAAATCTTCTAATTCATTTGGAATATTTAGAGAGTCTTTCGTGTTAACGGATAAGTCAAATGAGGTCGAACTTGTCCTACGGCATTGTTGTAAATTAATTGTCCCATTCGGACATAAAGATTGAGCACGTTTCCGAATCATTTTTGTTTTTAAATTATTAGAGTCCATTTTCCGTGAATCAGGAAATAGTTGATCGTTTGGACAATCTCTGTTTGATTTATCAGTCCGATGTGTCGCACTCATATTCGATGATATTTTGTTTTATTAATTAACTTAATATAATTTTGATTTTTAGATATTTTTTACTTTTAATCCACAGATATTTTAAATCGACAAATCTTTGTAACTCATTTCATATATCAATGTAAAGTACAATGTCTCTTATAAAGTTTCTGTAAATTCAACAAGTAGAATTTGGTAAAGAAGTCATGTTCAGAGATCTTATACGTTTCTTTAATTTGGACACTTCTTTATGAGTTTCAAACACATCATCAGTGTAAAAATTAAATGTCTTTTATAATTCCACAAAAAATGCGTTCTCTTTACATCTTCACAAACTATTATAATATTAATTCCCTGACAAATTTTCACATTTCATTAAATATATTCCATATGTAATTACTTAAAGTACTCAAACATGCATCTTACATATCCCGATTGGTGATTTTCTTTGCAACGTGTGTGAGTAAGTGTAAGAAACACATCCAACTGTGAAATGTCTCAGAAAAAACACACCAAATATGCAATAACAATTGCACAAGTGGCTATAAAAGACATTGCAACAAAGAAGATGCCAATGTCTGTTTTTTCAGACATTGATTTTCAATAACTGTTTCCTTAATTGACATCACAGGAAGGCAAGTTTATAGAAATATATTGGACAGATTGCTATGTGTATATTTGCTGACGTTGAAATTGAGAGTCGAGCGGCTGATCCGCTGTGCAGATAGTATTTTAATTAAGATCACACATTCTGATCAACCACTAATGACCTTGCTACACTTCTAAGATATTATTGATTGCTTGATTTATTTAGAAAAAAATGAGTATAAGCTTTGCAAAAGTATGAACGAAGACAAACATCGTTTAAAGTTACCCTTTTATCCTCTTTTATAGCATAAACCCATAAAGTAATAATTAATGCTCATGATCATCTGTCCAATATTTCAGTAGAACTGAAACAGAATGAAAATATTATCGGAACAAACTGATATAATGACTGTTGCTGAACATTTATCTATTTGTAAGTTCTTTAATGATTATGCGCATATTTCTCTGTAATCTTAATTTGGAAATATCTTTTAAATATTTTTATACCACACTTGGAACTTGTTTAAGTGTAATTAATAGAAAGAAAGCAGTCACAGCTTAATGTATATAAACCTTCACGCCATACACCCTTTGCATGTACAACTCTTGCTAATGGAAATGAGAGAGAATAGTAATATAATGTTCTAGCACAAAGATAAATATACATGCTGTGCTGATAGTTGAACCTCCCGGAAATAATATGTTAACGGAAAGATCAAGGAGAGTTCAAATGGTAATTCAAGATTTCCGCATTTTAACAGATCACGTCATTTCATTCTAAATTTGGAAATTCGATTTGTAAAAAATCTATCAAGCGACACTTAATCATATCATTGAATGTTATATATGGTTTTGATATATATAAGAGGCATCAGTTTATCTTTTTCTGACTGAAATATTATTGTAACTGTCACAATATAGAGCATAGCCATATGGCACTTTGCAAGGCAAAATTACAAAGTCTTTCGTTTCCATTTATCTACGTGTATCCTTTTAATTTTTGATCAATAATAAAAACATCGACCTAATGTACCATAATATAAAATCAATCACAACAAAATAGTTAAATTTAAACAAAATTTTAATTCCCGGTTAAAGTGAAAAAGACAATCCCTAAAAATATCAAAGCAGCAAAATGAAAAATGTCGTACACTCGATTACTTTGAGCCTGTTCTTGCACGGTAATGGTAATTGCAAAGAATTGTCCATGTCCCCTAGCACTAGTTTAAGCGGAAATCAAAAGTTGAATATGAAACGGTAAAAAATTGAACTAAGATACGCCCAAGAGATGAGTCCAAACGGTAGTTATCATAGAAACGTCAATGTGACACGCACGACTAAATAAAATAGAATTCTTTTAAATGAACAGTCTGCATATCTCAGATAAGAAGTTAGACAGATTAATGTGTTGAAGACGTGACCTTAAAATTAATAAGAAAGACTTTCTCGTCATTATTCTAAATACGTTCGGTGGTCACATCTTCAACAGTTCAGTCAGTCTTAAGTTTTATCAGTCATATCCGCTTCTTCTTAACAGCTACATGTAGCAGCTTCCGTAACAAGTAAATTGATACACTTTTTTATAATCCATACGCATTAAACATAAGTCAGTAAAACTCAAATAAAGATAAATGATGAGGTTTAGTCATTGTTAGGTCAAACGCTTTTAAACATAGATAAGTTGAGGTTGAACTTTTATGTTTAAATACAAAAATATTACTAAAACTATGCACTTTTGTTGCGATCATCTGACATTAAATAACTTTAAGTAATAAAGAAATGGGTGTTGGTAACAGGATTATTTAGTTTATCTTGATTTAAATTTATCTTTTCCAATCTGATATAATATCATGGCAAATTATAAAATTTCTTTTTTGGTGTTGTGGTTATTTTTAGATAAGAAAGGAGAATTGCGTATATTTTAACAGAATATTATGCATTACATAATAAACATTTACATGGTACAGATATGGATACGTGGAACGCCATTGTTTAACATAAAGATTTTTTACCGCATTTTCTTTGTCTTTCGCATAATGTTTTTGCATAAATAGACTTGCATAAATCACTTATATCTTTATGTTGGATTAATTATGATGTTCTATGTCAATTGTAGATCTGATAATGTAGCATATATTGCATTCTGAACAATTACGCATAAACCATATATATTAATTCATTGACAAAAATAATGTGCAGTTATTGACAATATTTACCAATGACAAAATCGCTGATCTGATCGTGTTTTGTGTCGCATAAAAATGAAAGAGCATTTAACTAAATTATTTAATTTAACCCATGAAATATGGTGCTACATCAGTCAAATATATTTCATATTTTTTTAAAAATAAATATGAAATATAAATATGAAAGTGGGCGGAGTCAAAACTCATATTTATTTTAAGGGACTTCTTTCGTCATTTTGTTTGAAAAATCTGATAAATACAAAACAACTTTTGTTGAATTTTGCTTTGAAAACTATCTAGAATGATAAAAAATGGTCTAACTAAGAAAATAAATTCGAACACCAATATCTTTAATTCAGTAATTAACGCTGTACAGATATTTAAGTTGTTTACGTGACGTCACAATGTAGCGCCAAATATCGCGTGCAAAACAAGACGCAATAATATATTACTGCGCGCTGTACAATTGCAGTTGCGTAGCAAGCAATGGGATTCGTAACCATTTTTCTTTGATAATGAAATTAAATAAAAAGGTTATGTTTTCGTTTTTCGTGAAATATGGTATATATTTTAACTCAACATGGTAAAATGTCACATATTTTCACTCGCCGTCCCGGCTCATGAAAATATATGGCATTTCATCATGTTTCGTGAAAATATATTCCATGTTTTACTCAAACGAAAAAATTTAAATGAAATATTGCGATTCAAAAAATACTTTAATTTTGGATAAATATAGCTACCTTGTAATGAAATTCATGAATTGTTGTTGTTATTATCAATAACATTTTAATACAATATATGTGCATTGTAATGCTCTAGGTTACGAGATATAATAAGCTTGTTTGTTAATTGTTGTTGTTGTTTTGTTGTTGCTTTTTTCTCTTTTTGACGTATTTCGTTGCATCCGCTTTGATTTAAATACATACAACATACAGAAGAATTGTAGAGTACTGTATATGAGCGCGAACAAAGTTGAGTTATATATAATGTTAAATATTGCTTCAATGTATATTTTGTTTTATTTTGTACATTGTATAAGTAATTTACTAAAGTTAAAGAAAACTTAAATACTTGGCATGTTAATACTTGAAGGAATCAACATCTTAGTGAGATAGTCAAGTAAGAAAGAATTTACAGTAATATATCAACCGTTTGCTTCAAACTCAAACCTATATGATATATAAGATATTAAATTACATATATTTTGTTATCGCTAAGTCATCCGAAACACAATAATATTCTCTATACTACCTGTCGTATTTGCGTACGGGTACCTGTTCAAGGTTCGCATTGCATGTTTGTAAAGTTAAACACTTAAAAAACAGATTTGTGTTAAGATTTTTTAGTTACATTGTTTACTATGTATCAATATTATATAGAAGCAATACTTGTAGCTTGCTTGGGAATTGCATTATTGGTAGTCATAAACAGATTAGAGAAGTTGGAAAATGGACACGAATCGTATCTTTTAAATAGAGATAAAGGTTGGTGCAAGTTTATTTATATACATTGTTTATAAAATATATCCGATATAATGAAATAATTAATATTCTTCCTGGTTTTAAATACATAAGTCGAAAACTGATAGGTACCTAGAAATACTTTTCTTTAGTTATGTAACTTAGAACAAAGTTATGCGAACAATTATTTATGTTTTAAAATGTATATATTTATATTTGTATATTATGTAAATTTGTTTGTTTGGTTTTACGACACAAATACAAAATTTAGATCATATGGCACCGAAACTAGAAAGATAGGTTTGGCTATTTTCGGTTGTTATAAAATTATCAGAAGAAACACTTTATCTGCAAGAACTAAGAGATACAAAGACTACAGTTATTTGAACCATTTGGTCGCCTCTAGATAAGAGGTGGTCGCAAAACCGCTGTCTAAGCCTTTAAAGGCAATCCCTCAACCACAGGGAATATTATATAAATTGATGGACTATTACCGAAATTCATTAATTTAACCTGTAGTTAACCTTAATTTAAATAAATACTATTTATGCTTGCGTCTTCTTAATATTTAAGCTACCATGGCTGCCTTTTCCGTGAGCGCACCTGCTTCTATAAGCTCGAGTGAAACAAGACAGAAGCTTGAGCAATACGAAACTGTTCACATAAATGGTGGAGACTTCAATGAAGATACAGGAGTTTTTACCTGTGGTACGACAGGCTTGTACTTCTTTACTGCTACCCTTGTGAAGAGGCGTGATTTTAGGGACAAATTCGACTTTGTTAAATGTGATATATATAAAAACGATTTACAGCAGCTAAATCTAAAAATTAACCCCAACGGTGAAGAATGGGACTTTGGGCATGCAGCAATCAGTAATTCGATAGTTGTTAAACTCGACATTGGTGATATTGTTTATCTTGGTAATTGTAACACGATAAAACATTTTGCAAATTGGACATCGTTTACAGGATTCCTTCTGTACCCAGAAATTTAACTGCATTTAGAACTTATGATTGTAAAGACATAGGCTCTTTTGTTTTCTTTTTTTTGTTGTTGTCGTTGTTGTTTTTTTTTGTTGGTTTTTTTTGTTGTTTTTTAAAATGCATGTTTCGTTTCAAATATAAACGAACTAGTTTATAAAAAGATCATCATTTTTTTAATCGTAGAGGGGTAGGAGGTTTGGTTGCATAAACACAGTATAGTTCACATCCAGCTTTACTGAGGAAGGAAGACGTCAGATGCCAACATCAGTACATTATTTCAGACACGAACGGGCACCTGAGTTGAATCACCGACGATCCGTTAGCTAGCTGATTAGATTCCTCACATGAAATAAACCCGACCCTGTCGGGGATTTGAACCATAAGCGGTGAGGATCTAGTGGTTTGAAGTCAACGGTCAACGACGTTAACCGTTCGGCCACAGATGCCCCGCATTCAAGGTTTTGTTCAAGATTTCAAGTTCAAGATTTCGGAAAGCAACTGTAAAAACAAGACAAAGATGCGTATCTTGCTGAGAACAAAAATAAGAAATGTATATAGAACTCAACTTGTCATATCTAACAAATTATTTTAGTATAGACAGCGATAAAATACGTCTTGATATAAGGTATTTTGTCTATTCATGGTAGAATAGTTTCTATAATAGAAAATAGTATTTGTAAACGTAAAGATATTTTAGGAATCAAAGTGAAACATTGTAAGACAAAATAGCTACTAGTGTTCGATATCAATCAAATTAATATCATTTACTAAAGGAAGTCTTAATGGCAAAGAAAGCATTTCAGTACCATGAGAGTAAAAATCTAAATCGGGAATAGGTGACGATATACTTTGATGCCGTGAGGTCATTCTTCTACCAACACTTCTGACATTAGCGTTATTTGCTATCATAATGAATTCCATATTCATGGTTTCATACGTTACTGAACTAAAAAATACGCAAATAAACATCGTAATGACGGAAGGTAATGAGAAGGTTACCCAAAGCAAGGGCTAAACGTGTTATGATAACAACTGATCAGCCTAAATATTAAAAATTAATTGATAATTTAATTAAACGTGTATAGTTATTCAAAAGCTTATTTCAAAATCTGAAAAAAATAAAAGTAAAGTAGAAAAATAACAGAAAATCCTAACTGTCTCTTCTTGTATATCCATTTATATTTGATTAAGAAAACAAATTCTCTTCTGATCAATATTGTTTTTTTATTTTATTTTTTTATTATTATTTTTTTGTGTGTTGTTTTAAATATAAATTAAAATCAAAATATTAAATATATTAAAGGAACAATAACAGTCAAAACTATCAAATATTTTTTTTAATCTAGAGACAAGCATAAACAGTACAATTATGTAGAACACATCTATTAATTTAAATGGTATTAAGCACCCAAGCACATCACCGAGTTTCGAATTGGGATGCTCCAATTTATAGAGACATAAGCGCAGCGTTCAATATCACAACCACATAATGAACATTGATCAAATATTTTTCATAAAGAAAGAAAGCGACACAAAACTGAGCTTGCAACAATTTTATTTTCAACGTGTTTTAATGTTTTCTTTTTTATATTTAAAATACTATAATATGTCTGTGTTGATTACCTAATTAATATGAACGATAATTTGCTATACGTCCTACAAGCTACCTCCTAGTATCTGTGTTTGGCAAATTAACCAATTGATCTTCTCCGGTTTGAATGGACTGATCCGTATATAATTTGTTATGAAGTTAGAGTGTAATCATGATGAAATGGTTACTAAAACCGAGACAAAACTGATATTTTGCTTATAAAATTGAAGCAGAATCTTCTATATTATAAGAAATAATTGACGTCTTGCATCACTTTTTCTTTCCACTCAAATTATGTGGGAATTAACTGAACTTCTAATTCTATTTTTAGACAAAAGCAAATAAATGTACATGAAATAGAAAAAAAATGAAAACCTAAAATATTGCCCAAAACGGCAATATTGTGAAAATGAAGGCTGCGTTTGCTTATGATTAGAAAGTGCAAGCTACCGTCATTTCCTTCTGGCACTGACTTCAGCAGACTACAGTATTAAAACATAAACAGAGCAACATTTTGAATTCAGAGGCGTGTGATAAAAAAAGCTTAAGTAAATCCAAAATCAAAATCAGGAGAATGATTATGAAACTAGATAAAAACTAAATTTTAAATTGAATTAGGTAATTATTGCAAAGCATGTTTGGCGTAATCAATTCATGAGAGGTAATGGAAGGCAGAACATTGCTCATGCCCCTAAGCATCGGCTTCAGCAGTATTCAATAATCTCTAAAAGTATTAGAATCAATGATCCCGAAGGACCAGATAAAAATAAACACAACACTGATGAAGTACTTAACATCTTTTACAGCTGACATGCACATTTTACAGGTTCTGTATCATCTATGGCTTAAGAGCTAGAAACAATGACATATCAGTGTAAGTGATACAATTGATATTTTACCTCTAGCAACGGCTTAGTAGGTATTCAATCTTGAACACTAAATACTGAAATCAATTATCCTGAAGGACAAGAAAGATAAAATAACACTGAAGTTAAGAACGCAGCAACTTTTAAAGCTACAACACAATTTATATTAACTAAGTGACCCTGGGATGCGGCGAATATTGACCAAAGATGTATGTTATGTGTCAGTTGTCTGGAGGTTCACAAGGCAATACTATTTGCCATATAACCAAGCACTGCGGCATTGAAGTTTCACAGACTGAGACTTAATATGCCAACAAAAAGTATTTTCTTCAAAAAGTCGAGAGCGAACAATGACGAAATTTTAAATTCATACATAAAATTTAATTGTGACCTTGACCTGATGAAGATCAAACTTGCACTCTGCACATCGTTTCATTATCGTTTAGACAAGTAATTTCAATTTCAATCCATCAGTTCAAAAGATGTAGAGCAAATATAATATTGCTTATAGACGGCTTGCATATCAATATACGGGATTTAAAAAGTCTCTTATATATATTAAAGAAATAAACTATGACTGTAAAACTGAGAAGATTCTTTTATGCTTATGTGTGCCAAAATCAAGCATTACAGATATTTTCTTTACAAGTATTTGAAATAAGTGTTTGTAATGTTATCAATTATTATACCAATTAATCTCAACAACGTTATGTGAATTGATGTTACATGTCGTGAAAAGTTACAACTGTATTCATTTGATACAAATGAGAAACTTTTGAATTTTATCAACATGATTTACTCAAGAGTATAGCTTCTGATAACATAAAAGAAAATTGAAATAAACAATAAGGCAGAATTAAATGACTTCTTATAATTTAAACACATGCTTTATATTGAGTTTAAAGGCAAGCTGAATATCACAAAATACAAAAAACAATATCAAGAAGGAAATTCGGCATCCGCCAAGACAGACCACCAGCAAGGAGCCCAGCAGGACACCAAACAGGACAGGACACATAGGCAAACCTCGGACGGGAAGTCATTATAAATTAACAAAGAAGTATATCAGCACAACTGTTGTCATACTTTTTGATTGGCTCATATTATTCAACACAAGTTGGAGGGCTAAATCGTATAATCATTTTTATTGTTATTAACTCTGTTTCAAACGGCTTAATTTTAATTATAGGGCAAATTACACGTTTATAATCTACGAGTGGCAAAAAAGTTGCTAAAGATTGCTAAACATCTCTTTGTGTGATCTTACGGCGGTAATCATGCTATCGGACATTAACATTCCGCAATTACTCTGAATGTTTTAAATTTGATCAGTATTATAGAATAATGTAGTTATTAATTTTAGCTAACTTGAAACTACATTACTTACTTTTGGCAACCTTCAAATGTTATACTATAATCACTTTTCTTTGTCGCGTCTGTTGTATGATTTCTATTTAATTAAGCTCAGTAATTATGTTCAGTACATAATGAACACTAAAGTAACTTGCATCGAATGGCGCTACACTTTTCATCATGATCAGATGTTAAAGTAGCAAAAAAAATTTTAATCTACAATAAAGATGATACAAGTAATAAATCAATTCGAAATGAAACGTTTTTCAATGAACATCATACTGTGTCAAAAAATTGTTCAGCTAAAGAGTATTTAATTTCAGATTAGGTTATCACACGAAATCTTATAGGCTCATTAAAATAAGTGAGAGAGTAACGTTTGATTCCCTTTTAAAAGTCCATTTCATTTAGATTCGCCAACTGTTTTCTCGTTTAAGACAAACGCTGTCTTTTCCTTGGGGATTATACTCCGCGTTTAATGGAATGGCACGGCACGAATATGTCTCATCGTTACGGACTTCTGCCTCGGAAAAACATCGGAAAAGCAGACATCATCTATACCTATTATTTAGATGAATGATTCAAATAAAATGTTGCCAAGCTGCAGACAAAAATATAATAGATCTTTACTATTTAGTCTGATACCAAACCATTACGTTAACATGAAGAATATATTCATTTTCGTTTGTTTAATTAGGTCATATACGATTCACCGCGAACCACCAAATGTTGTGTGTTTCCGAGTACTAACTGAATTAGTAACGAAATACTGCATATTAAAAAGCTTCAAAGCTATGAACTTATAATTTTGCTGTTTTTGGACATCCTTTAGGTTCTCTTTTTCCTCTCTATTTTTAGACAATTAAGATGTAGACAACTATATCGTCTTTAATGTACATACGCTTTATATGTCATAAACTTCCCGCTTTTACGACTGCTGTTAATGAAAGTAAGAGAGAATACGTATAATTTTCTAGAACTGTGATATATTACTTCCTGGTGTGACAATTTAGCCTTCAGGAAATCACCAGTTTACGGAAATAGTAATAGCAGAGAATTGTATAGAGTTCGTAAGTTCATGAAGGAATGTCATTTTTGACAAGGCGTAATTTTGATTTAGATAAGGAAATAACACTAAAGTGTGTTTGAGCCACAAGTTATCTTTTGCTCTCGGATAACAAAAGTGTACGAGGTTCCATCTTTTTTCAGTATATCTTTCATGAGAAATGCAATTT